GCACTAAACACTACCATAGTTTCTACAACATATCACCGTCTGCTGTATACCAGGCCGAAAGTTTGCACACCACACATCTAAATGTAGTAACTTCCTGAAGACTGCTTACATTAAATAGTACAACATTCCTGACAACTAATCACTGCTCAAATGCAATGCAACGAGCGTCTACCGAATCTCAACAGAAACAATGCAACACAGCTACAATCACTGTTAAACAATGAGATACACTGCCATATAACAGAGTATTTACGGTAATGCAGGATGATCCTGGAAGGGTGATATCTGAATGGTAGAGCTACTCAAGGATATCATGTTACAGGATGTAAAAGATGTCGGACTCAGATACACAACATGCCAACAAGTCATGATTTCATGCAGTAGATTAAATTACATGGGTGCAATTTGTCACTGATTACTTAGATAAACTGCAGTTGAAGGTGTGGGGAACAGGTAAGGGGAATGGGTGTAAGGGGAACAGATCTACATAGGGGAACAGGTAAGGGGCACAGGTAAGGGGAACAGGTAAGGGGCAAAGGTGTAAGGGGAACAGGTAAGGGGCACAGGTGTAAGGGGCACAGGTAAGGGACACAGGTGTAAGGGGAACAGGTAAGGGGCACAGGTGTAAGGGCCACAGGTGTAAGGGGCACAGGTGTAAGGGGCACAGGTGTAAGGGGAACAGGTAAGGGGCACAGGTAAGGGGAACAGGTAAGGGGCAAAGGTGTAAGGGGCACAGGTGTAAGGGGCACAGATAAGGGACACAGGTGTAAGGGGAACAGGTAAGGGGCACAGGTGTAAGGGGAACATGTAAGGGGCACAGGTGTAAGGGCCACAGGTGTAAGGGGAACAGGTGTAAGGGGAACAGGAAAGGGGCACAGGTGTAAGGGGAACAGGTGTAAGGGGGACAGGTAAGGGGAACAGGTGTAAGGGGAACAGGTAAGGAGAACAGGTAAGGGGCACAGGTGTAAGGGGAACAGGTGTAAGGGGAACAGGTAAGGGGAACAGGTGTAAGGGGAACAGGTGTAAGGGGAACAGGTAAGGGGCACAGGTGTAAGGGGAACAGGTGTAAGGGGAACAGGTAAGGGGAACAGGTAATCGGCATGTTCATAGGGGCACCGGTAAGGGGAACAGGTGTAAGGGGAACAGGTAAGGGGCACAGGTGTAGGGGAACAGGTGAGGGGTACCAAACCCCAACACACCTCACACCCAACCTGACAGCTACCTTTTAACTGCAATCCCACCACTCCTAAAAACTAAACAACAAAAACTAAACTCCAAAACACCAACAACAAAATTTAAATGTCAGCTTCAGGGAACTCAATGATGCAATGCTTGAAAGTGACTATTATTAATTCCTTCACTCCAGTTCACAGTGACCGACCCTGATGTCAGGGTGCCACTACCTGGCGATCCGTCCCATCCCCACTCTGTCACACCAGCTAAGCTGAGGTAATGTTTATCAATAAACATATCAATAAACATTATTTATAAAATGTCAATGACAGTTATTTGAAGTTGACAGATCAACTTTTCTACCCCTACAGCGGTGTTTGAGGCGGTTGTGTTTGGGATGGAATATTTTGAGCTGATGCAGCAGACAGACTGCTCAATGTTAGCGGCCCTTGTTGGAGTTTGAGAGGTTTTAAAACCCTGTATACTCTTCCTGTTTGGACATGCGAGCTGGGGGATCGAGCCGGGAGAGTGTAGCTTTTGTTTCAAGTCCTCCTGGCAGGATGGCCGTTTGTCTATAGGGAGGGGGCTTATCTTGGAGAAACATTTGATGAATAAACGAGACATGTTTGTTGTGTCTGTATGGAGGCTAAATAGACATACAAACCAATTTGGGTCAGTGTTCACTCATCTACACCTCGTCGCCACTATCCCCCTGTAATTACTAGGGGAGTTCCATTGGCAGACAGCATCCTCACCTACAGGTGTCCAGCTGCTGCCATTTCTCCTACTCTCACTTTGCGTCACAGCAAACAATGTACTTGTCATGTGCTGTGAGTTGGGTGACACATTCTCGGGGCAGAAAACAAAAAAAGTATACCAGGTATTGTTGTCTTTATTTTAATTGAAACATTTAAGACTGTCTCATCTGTGGGAATTCAGAAAATTGCCATTACTCTGAGGAGATGGTATTCTCTCTAGTGGAGTTATTATTTCTGTAGAACTCAGGTATATATTTTAAAGTTCATAATTATAGAAAATACAAACATAACTGGATCAATAATTTTCTGAAACCTTTTGATTATTGTTAATTAATAATTTCTGTTAAGCAGAGTATTGAGGAAACACAAATGTTCATCAAGTAATATTAAGCAAAATAACAGGAAAATTACTTTTTAAATCTCCTACAGGAGAATATATGCATGGGCTTAAGACAACTGACACTTCAACCACTCCACAAAGAGGGTGTGTCTACAGCTTCTGACAACGGAACATGATATGAATTATATCAAAGAGAAGGCTATTTGTTGTCAACAATTTATGTGAGGAAAATGATAATTACGATCAAGTGTTTCTGTACACAGTGAACAAATGCCTGGTCTTGTCAAACATGGGTCTCCACTCAACATGGGGGTCTATACTCATCCATCCATTTCTAGTTTTATCCACACATGAATCAATTTGAAGTTAGTGGAGCTTTTACAATCACAATCAAATAAAACTGTAAGAAATATTGTATGTAAAAGTGTTGTTTGATAAATACTGCGTCATTGTTGTGAATGTTTGATTGTCTATTGCTATTGTTGTGAGGTTGTGTTATGAGGTTATCCTCCAGTTGGGTTGTGTTATGAGGTTATCCTGCTGTGAGGTTGTGTTATGAGGTCATCCTGCTGTGAGGTTGTGTTATGAGGTCATCCTGCTGTGAGGTTGTGTCATGAGGTTATCCTCCAGTTGGGTTGTGTTATGAGGTTATCCTACTGTGAGGTTGTGTTATGAGGTTATCCTGCTGTGAGGTTGTGTTATGAGGTCATCCTGCTGTGAGGTTGTGTTATGAGGTTATCCTCCAGTTGGGTTGTGTCATGAGGTGATCCTGCTTTGAGGTTGTGTCATGAGGTTATCCTGCTGTGAGGTTGTGTCATGAGGTTATCCTCCAGTTGGGGTGTGTAATGAGGTTATCCTGCTTTGAGGTTGTGTCATGAGGTTATCCTGCTGTGAGGTTGTGTTATGTAGTTATCCTGCTGTAAGTTTGTGTCATGAGGTTATCCTGCTGTGAGGTTGTGTTATGAAGTTATCCTGCTGTAAGGTTGTGTTATGAGGTTATCCTGCTGTGAGGTTGTGTTATGAAGTTATCCTGCTGTAAGGTTGTGTTATGAGGTTATCCTGCTGTGAGGTTGTGTTATGAAGTTATCCTGCTGTAAGGTTGTGTTATGAGGTTATCCTGCTGTGAGGTTGTGTTATGAAGTTATCCTGCTGTAAGGTTGTGTTATGAGGTTATCCTGCTGTGAGGTTGTGTTATGAGGTTATTCTATAGTGATGCTGTGTTATGAGGTTATCCTATAGTGATGTTGTGTTATGAGGTTACCCTGCAGTGAGGTTGTGTTATGAGGTTATTCCATAGTGGTGCTGTGTTATGAGGTTATCCTACTGTAAGGTTGTGTTATGAGGTTATCTTGCTGTGATGCTGTGTTATGAGGTTATCCTCCAGTTGGGTTGTGTCATGACGTCATCCTGCTGTGAGGTTGTGTGATGAGGTTATCTTGCTGTGATGTTGTGTTATGAGGTTATTCCATAGTGAGGTTGTGTCATGAGGTTATCCTACTGTAAGGTTGTGTCATGAGGTCATCCTACAGTGATGTTGTGTCATGAGGCTATCTTGCAGTGAGGTTGTATCATGAGGTTATCCTGCAGTGAGGTTGTGTCATGAGGTTATCCTGCAGTGAGGTTGTGTCATGAGGTTATCCTGTGGTAAGTTATTGTATACCCGGGAAGTGGTGTAGTGATATTGAGGTTGATGTGTACAGATAAAGTCTGAGGGACTTCGAGAGTAATTCACATTAACAAAGACGGACAGGATATGGATGATTTAGGTGACTCAACACTTTCTAATGTTTGAATGTTGCTGTGTTCTCCATTGAAATGTAGACAGACAAGACATACATGACTAACTGGACTATGACGCACACCACAGTATACTCCGACCTGTGACCGCACAACCAGGAAGTGGGAAACAATACCTCAACATTACATTTACTTTTTTATATTTCAAAGCTATCAGATTGTGAGTTTAAGAATGTAGTGCTCGTGATACATGTATTGGTATGAAGTAAGTATTATACATAGGATATATGTTACTCATATAGGAAACATTGACTGTGTGGTTTTTGAGTTGAGGTTGTGACTTTTTATTCAACATTTTCCAGTTAATAATGTTATCCCAAGTGACAGTTCCCCCCTAGATACCCTCTCCCCCCATATCAGACATGATGATGATGGTGATGATGGTGATGATGGTTTCTTCTTTCATCACCAGCTCAATGACTTCCCTCTGTTCCTGTTCCAAGATGAATGTTCAGCCACTAGATGTGTGTTTTAAATATTCATGAGCAAGTACGGTTGTGTATGCAACTGTATATCCAATCCCTGACATTTTTCATATTTAATGTTTTATTTTTGTGAACAATTCTATGTATAGCACTTGTATTTCAGTGGTGTTGTAGTGGTCGTGACTGATTCGCCTTGGTTACATGTTGTGCAGAACCGGAGTTCATATCTTATTTATCCCTGGCAGACTACCAATCCAATGAATGTAATCCCTCCATGTTCTATAATTTATTTATATCCTACTAACAAAATGTTGATAGCAGATATTGAACTCAATACATTGACATGTTCAGTTTATTTGAGTGATGAGAAAAAAGATGTTTGCTTCTTTCACAAACAACAGGAAGTGAAGATCATGTGATCTTGAAGAATGAAATGTGCATGCCACAGTTTGATCACGTGTATTTCTCAAACAATTTTAATCTATTTTCTCCTTGTTTTCCCGCTAGACAGATGATGAGGAGGTAAGTCTCAGCATGCCGTGCAGGAGCGTGGAAAGGAAGTAGATATACCGTATACAACCTACACCACGCACATGTCTACATGGACTTCTACCATACCGCACTCCGCACTGTTTCCAACACTCTACACCACACACACTGTCTACATGGACTTCTACCATACCGCACTCCGCACTGTTTCCAACACTCTACACCACACACACTGTCTACATGGACTTCTACCATACCGCACTCTGCACTGTTTCCAACACTCTACACGCACACGCACACTGTCTACATGGACTTCTACCATACCGCACTCTGCACTGTTTCCAACACTCTACACCACGCACACTGTCTACATGGACTTCTACCATACCGCACTCCGCACTGTTTCCAACACTTCTAAACCACGCACACTGTCTACATGGACTTCTACCATACCGCACTCCGCACTGTTTCCAACACTCTACACCACACACACTGTCTTCATGGACTTCTACCATACCGCACTCCGCACTGTTTCCAACACTCTACACCACACACACTGTCTTCATGGACTTCTACCATACCGCACTCTGCGCTGTTTCCAACACTCTACACCACGCACACTGTCTTCATGGACTTCTACCATACCGCACTCTGCGCTGTTTCCAACACTCTACACCACGCACACTGTCTACATGGACTTCTACCATACCGCACTCTGCGCTGTTTCCAACACTCTACACCACGCACACTGTCTACATGGACTTCTACCATACCGCACTCTACACTGTTTCCAACACTCTACACCACGCCCACTGTCTACATGGACTTCTACCATACCGCACTCCGCACTGTTTCCAACACTCTACACCACGCACACTGTCTACATGGACTTCTACCATACCGCACTCCCCACTGTTTCCAACTCTCTACACCACACACACTGTCTACATGGACTTCTACCATACCGCACTCCCCACTGTTTCCGACACTCTACACCACACACACTGTCTACATGGACTTCTACCATACCGCACTCCACACTGTTTCCAACACTCTTCACCACGCACACTGTCTACATGGACTTCTACCATACCGCACTCTGCGCTGTTTCCAACACTCTACACCACGCACACTGTCTACATGGACTTCTACCATACCGCACTCTACGCTGTTTCCAACACTCTACACCACGCCCACTGTCTACATGGACTTCTACCATACCGCACTCCGCACTGTTTCCAACACTCTACACCACGCACACTGTCTACATGGACTTCTACCATACCGCACTCCCCACTGTTTCCAACTCTCTACACCACGCACACTGTCTACATGGACTTCTACCATACCGCACTCCCCACTGTTTCCGACACTCTACACCACACACACTGTCTACATGGACTTCTACCATACCGCACTCCACACTGTTTCCAACACTCTTCACCACGCACACTGTCTACATGGACTTCTACCATACCGCACTCCGCACTGTTTCCAACACTCTTCACCACGCACACTGTCTACATGGACTTCTACCATACCGCACTCCGCACTGTTTCCGACACTCTTCACCACGCACACTGTCTACATGGACTTCTACCATACCGCACTCCGCACTGTTTCCAACACTCTACACCACGCACACTGTCTACATGGACTTCTACCATATCGCACTCTTCGCTGTTTCCAACACTCTACACCACACACACTGTCTACATGGACTTCTACCATACCGCACTCTGCGCTGTTTCCAACACTCTACACCACGCACACTGTCTACATTGACTTCTACCATATCGCACTCCGCACTGTTTCCAACACTCTACACCACGCACACTGTCTACATGGACTTCTACCATACCGCACTCCCCACTGTTTCCGACACTCTACACCACACACACTGTCTACATGGACTTCTACCATATCGCACTCTGCGCTGTTTCCAACACTCTACACAACACACACTGTCTACATGGACTTCTACCATACCGCACTCTGCGCTGTTTCCAACACTCTACACCACGCACACTGTCTACATGGACTTCTACCATATCGCACTCCACACTGTTTCCAACACTCTACACCACACACACTGTCTACATGGACTTCTACCATACCGCACTGTTTCCAACACTCTACACCACACACACTGTCTACATGGACTTCTACCATACCGCACTGTTTCCAACACTCTACACCACACACACTGTCTACATGGACTTCTACCATACCGCACTCCGCACTGTTTCCGACACTCTTCACCACGCACACTGTCTACATGGACTTCTACCATACCGCACTCCGCACTGTTTCCAACACTCTACACCACGCACACTGTCTACATGGACTTCTACCATATCGCACTCTTCGCTGTTTCCAACACTCTACACCACACACACTGTCTACATGGACTTCTACCATACCGCACTCCCCACTGTTTCCGACACTCTACACCACACACACTGTCTACATGGACTTCTACCATATCGCACTCTGCGCTGTTTCCAACACTCTACACAACACACACTGTCTACATGGACTTCTACCATACCGCACTCTGCGCTGTTTCCAACACTCTACACCACGCACACTGTCTACATGGACTTCTACCATATCGCACTCCACACTGTTTCCAACACTCTACACAACCCACACTGTCTACATGGACTTCTACCATACCGCACTCTGCGCTGTTTCCAACACTCTACACCACGCACACTGTCTACATGGACTTCTACCATATCGCACTCCACACTGTTTCCAACACTCTACACCACACACACTGTCTACATGGACTTCTACCATACCGCACTCTGCACTGTTTCCAACACTCTACACCACACACACTGTCTACATGGACTTCTACCATACCGCACTGTTTCCAACACTCTACACCACACACACTGTCTACATGGACTTCTACCATACCGCACTCTGCACTGTTTCCAACACTCTACACCACACACACTGTCTACATGGACTTCTACCATACCGCACTCTGCGCTGTTTCCAACACTCTACACCACGCACACTGTCTACATGGACTTCTACCATACCGCACTCTGCACTGTTTCCAACACTCTACACCACGCACACTGTCTACATGGACTTCTACCATATCGCACTCTGCACTGTTTCCAACACTCTACACCACGCATGACTGTCAACACTTCAGTACCAGTTATTGTATCTCTGCATGAGAGACTTTATATTTCAAACATGAGACGTCAGCCATCATGCATATTTCTGTTGATGGCAGGATTTACAAAGCATGTGTACTGTCAATTTAGCGTGAACATATTTGTTCCAAATCTTTTCATGCTTTTAATCAAAATGCTCAAATGATTTGTTGCACTTCATGAAATAAAACCTGTTTCATTACAACATAGATAATAATTATCGATCAGGTCATCATGACTGGGTGCCGCATGTTTGAAGCAAATGCAAGTGATATGAGAGATGGAATCTGATTGGTCAGAAGTGGGGACATAGTAGGGACATAACTTGTATTAGCCACTGGTGGCGCTACGATCGAGCGCAGAAATTCCTCCCTAGTTTGACAAGGGTGGAAACTGAACTTTTAGAGTCAGTTATCTCCCTTGACTCAGGAAGATGCCCTCCGTGTGGCCCGGGGTTAGAATAGGTCCCCAGGAAACTATGTCCTAACAAGCAACTGTGGATTGGATGGTCAGACTCAATGGCTTGGTTGTGCACAAGTAAACATACTCTGATGGCATGGGACATTACTCATAATATCAATCACTGGTTCGTCTGGTCCGATTATTTAAGTTGATAAGCCACCTTGATATATTTGGTATATTGCTAGCTGCAGAGTCAAACCACAAACAAGTAAGTTTTGTTTGTAATATTAACACCACACTCAGCAATAGCCAGCTATGTGAAGGTGGTCCGTAAATAAGGGAACTGGACTAGCGATTAACATCATGAGCATCGATCTACGCAATTGTAATATGATGACATGCATCAACCAAGTCAGCGAGTCTGATAATCCAATCCTATAAGTCGCCTCTTATGACAAGCATAGGTTGCTGAAGACCTATTCTAACCTTCACGGGGCAAGACAAGCAGGGAGTGGGGGCAGCTACACTGGGCAGTGATGAAGGAGATCAGAGGTTAATCTCCCCCAGGCACTTAATGTAAGATGAAGGCCAAAGAGATGAATCTCCCCCAGGCACTTAATGTAAGATGAAGGCCAAAGAGATGAATCTCCCCCAGGCACTTAATGTAAGATGAAGGCCAAAGAGATGAATCTCCCCCAGGCACTTAATGTAAGATGAAGGCCAAAGAGATGAATCTCCCCCAGACACTTAATGTAAGATGAAGGCCAAAGAGATGAATCTCCCCCAGGCACTTAATGTAAGATGAAGGCCAAAGAGATGAATCTCCCCAGGCACTTAATGTAAGATGAAGGCCAAAGAGATGAATCTCCCCCAGGCACTTAATGTAAGATGAAGGCCAAAGAGATGAATCTCCCCCAGGCACTTAATGTAAGATGAAGGCCAAAGAGATGAATCTCCCCCAGGCACTTAATGTAAGATGAAGGCCAAAGAGATGAATCTCCCCCAGGCACTTAATGTAAGATGAAGGCCAAAGAGATGAATCTCCCCCAGGCACTTAATGTAAGATGAAGGCCAAAGAGATGAATCTCCCCCAGGCACTTAATGTAAGATGAAGGCCAAAGAGATGAATCTCCCCCAGGCACTTAATGTAAGATGAAGGCCAAAGAGATGAATCTCCCCCAGGCACTTAATGTAAGATGAAGGCCAAAGAGATGAATCTCCCCCAGGCACTTAATGTAAGATGAAGGCCAAAGAGATGAATCTCCCCCAGGCACTTAATGTAAGATGAAGGAGATCAGAGATGAATCTCCCCCAGGCACTTAATGTAAGATGAAGGCCAAAGAGATGAATCTCCCCCAGGCACTTAATGTAAGATGAAGGCCAAAGAGATGAATCTCCCCCAGACACTTAATGTAAGATGAAGGCCAAAGAGATGAATCTCCCCCAGGCACT